CAAAATGTAATTCGTAAAGTAATAAATCACAAACAATCACACAACTGTGCATTTTATACTGTATGTGGAGCTCATAATTATGTGATTATCATTCATTCAAATTGTTAATAATTTTTTAGAGTAATAAAATAGCTTATCTGGCAATTAAGGTGTAATTTTTGTATTGAGAATCATTCGTTGAAAAACTGTTCTATTAAAAAATAAAAAATAAATTAATAAATAAATAGAACGTGTCAATCATAACGGTAGGCTGGAATTTTCATTATTAACGAACAAGCATTAGTACCGCTCCTTCCCTCAACGTTCCACTCAGATTTGACCCGTGTCAATCATAACGGTAGGCTGGAATTTTCATTAAAAAAATGCTTGGGAGCACTAATTAGTGCTCTCACTAATTAGGTGGCAGTGGGTCCCGTCATTAATGATGTGATGTTTTGGTTTTGGAATTGTATTTTTTTTTTATTTTTTTACTTTTTTAATGCATTAGTGCTATTAGTGGTGATGTTTTTAGTGGGATGAATCATTGTTGTTTTCATTATTAACGAACAAGCATTAGTACCGCTCCTTCCCTCAACGTTCCACTCAGATTTGACCTTCAAGACACCTTTTCTAAATAAAAAATAATAATTTTATACCTACTAACAATTTTATTAAGAATAATGTTAAGAATATTAAATTTTTTATCAAATAAATAATTAAAGATTTTATATGAACTTACATTTAAATGAGCTATTTAGTCATTCATTTAATAAAAAAATTAGAATCTATATAATATTTGATCATATGTTTTTAATAACATTATTAATAAGAATTTAAATAGATATAAAATTACTCATATTTCAATGAGTCCATGAGTGTGTCTCACACCATAAGAGATAATTTTTTGATTTTTTTAATTTTTTTAAATCACATTATATTTCTAATTTTTTACAATCTTTCAAAAAAGAACCAAAAAATTTAATTAATTAATTAATTTACTTCCCAAAATAAATCTCAAGGAAAATATTAATAAAACTTTGATATCCTAGCATTTTTCATTAAGCAATGCTTAGTCCGCAAACTTAAATTAATATTTTTTCCTGACCTAATCGTCCTTAAACCCTCAACACTGTCCCTCCCACCATCACTATATATATGATTGCTATTCTCTGTTGCTTCATATCAAATCCCAATTCTCAGTTTATAAAAACTCTCACAATTTTTCTCTATATTCTAACCTTTCTCATTCTTATATTTTCAAATAGAGAGAGAGTGAAAAAGATAATAATTAATGGCTTTCTCGAGCGCAGTAGTGTTGGTATTGATGTTCGCTATGGTTGCCGGATCTGTCTTCGCACAGGCTCCAGGATTGTCACCGGTGAAGTCTCCGGTAGCATCGCCTCCGAAGACGATGGCGACTCCTTCTCCGACACCGTCTCCCTCAATGAAGGCACCGACCACCGCTCCTACTTCCGCCCCTACCACCGCACCACCGACCTCTACTCCAGTTGCTCCTCGCACTGCTCCTGCCTCCGCTCCCTCCGGCGACGCCGTTCCTCCATCCACGATCTCAGCTCCCGGCCAGTCTCCTTCCTCCACTTATTCTAGCACTGGCGCTTTGAACAGAGTCACTGTCGTTGGATCCGCTGCGGTGGTACTCTTCGCAACTACTTTGTTGATTTAGATCTGATCTGAAGTTTCCTCGTTTCGCCGTGAAGATTTTGTGTTTTTTCAGTAGATATTTTCTTAGGTTTATTTTAATTTAATTTTTTTGATTAACTTGGCGATGACGGTGGCTGTGAGGTTGATAGATATTATCAAATTCTTCTTTTTACAGTTATTTAATATTTGTTGATTCTTTGATATTATTTATAATAAATGACAATTTATTCATAAATGTCATTTTTTATTATACATTTTATATTTTACGATTATACAAAATTAGCCAAAATTATTTATATGTTACAAATTCAAATTATGCATTTTTAGCATGAAACTCATATTTAAAGATTGTTAATCAGGTTCTTTTTAACAAATAAAGTAGGTTCGCAATATTGCTTACTTTTTAAGTGTTTTAGAAAGTTGGTAAAAAATTAAGATTTTTTGGCTTTTTTAGTCTAGTTTGTCTTTTTGTAGATAAAAAATGTTAGAGATAATGTGATCCAAATAGATAAAAAGCTAAAAGCTAAAAGCTGACTTTTTTGGAGCTTCCCAAAAGACCCCTTTGTCTTTTCCGTTATTGATGTGTAATCGTATGTATTCATGTCTATTATTATCAATAATTTTTTTTGCTAATAAAAAACAAATAAATAAATAAATAAAGTAAAACAAAAAAATAAAGTAACATCATGAAAAAATATATATATATATATATTAACCAATTAATCCTAAAACATGTATATATATTGTAAAACAAACAAATAATATGAAAAAAATACATATATCAACCAATCTAATCATGAAATAGACAACGAACACTCCAGAAATGAAAAAAAAAAAAATGGAAAAACTAGTGAGAGAAATCTTCAAGCAAGCTCAAAACATAAGTACTTGTTCCAAAAAAAAAAAATGACACAATAAAGGTCACCACCAACAACTTAAGAACACGGGAGAGAGAGATTGAATTAATAATAATCTATGAAAAATCGCATATTATGAATCTCCTGAGAATGGAAGGTTGGGATTCAAAGATTATTTGGCCTCTCATCACTTTATAAAATGTCCAATTTAACATTCAAAAATGTTAGAGATTCCACATAGTGTGAATCTCATACCATATGAGACATTTGTTAGAAATTTTAGAGTATCTAACATTATTCTTTAATATCACCATACTAGTAATCTCATCTCATAATTCCATCTCTTAGGGTCTCTAAACTCAACAATGGAGTCTTAGAGGGAGAAGGAAAAAAAAAAATTACTAGTGAAGTTTTGCAAAATTAGGCCACAGAAAGATTCAATCAAGTGATTAATTTTTGTGAGAATTGGTGGAAGTTTTAAAAAATGTAATTTTTTTTTCAAAATTCAAATCTCAAAGCTATTAAGGGAGTTTTTTTGTAATTATACAATTTAATTGGCCCTTAAACATAATTAATTATTCTTAATCCACATTAACAATATAATGTTAATTTAAAATATTAACACAAAAAATTCAAATACTGAACTTGGAGATAAAAGAAGAAAATTAAAAAAACTTCTCAAAAAAGACTTATCACTTTCTAATCTAATCCACAACTACCCTGTAAAAAATGCAGTGCAAAACAAAAAAAAAAAAAATCAAAACTCTCAACCACCGTGGAAAACAAAATTATGTTTGGTTTCAATTTTAGAATCAATTTAATTTTTTTTTGACAAAAATAAACACTAAAAGAATATTATTTGGCAAAAATAAACACCAAAAATAATGATGAGTGTTTATTTATTTTCCAAGAATAAATTAATTTGACAAAAATAAACACTAAAAAAATATTTTAAACACCAAAAAGTAAAAGCATATGAAATGATGAGTGTTTTTGAGTTATTATTATTTGTTTCCAAAAATTTTCAGAAAATAAATTCTAAAAACCAAGGAAATAGAATGCTTTCCAAAATATTATAAAATTATTAAAAAGTACATTGAGTTGTACAAAATTTGTTGTGTCCCTAGGACATTTGTTTTGTTTTTGTTGTGTCCCTAGGAAATTTGTTGTGTCCCTAGGATAGTTGTACAAAATTTGTTGTGTCCCTAGGACATTTGTTTTGTTTTTGTTGTGTCCCTAGGAAATTTGTTGTGTCCCTAGGATAGTTGTACAAAATTTGTTGTGTCCCTAGGACATTTGTTTTGTTTTTGTTGTGTCCCTAGGAAATTTGTTGTGTCCCTAGGATAGTTGTACAAAATTTGTTGTGTCCCTAGGACATTTGTTTTGTTTTTGTTGTGTCCCTAGGAAATTTGTTGTGTCCCTAGGATAGTTGTACAAAATTTGTTGTGTCCCTAGGACATTTGTTTTGTTTTTGTTGTGTCCCTAGGAAATTTGTTGTGTCCCTAGGATAGTTGTACAAAATTTGTTGTGTCCCTAGGACATTTGTTTTGTTTTTGTTGTGTCCCTAGGAAATTTGTTGTGTCCCTAGGATAGTTGTACAAAATTTGTTGTGTCCCTAGGACATTTGTTTTGTTTTTGTTGTGTCCCTAGGAAATTTGTTGTGTCCCTAGGATAGTTGTACAAAATTTGTTGTGTCCCTAGGACATTTGTTTTGTTTTTGTTGTGTCCCTAGGAAATTTGTTGTGTCCCTAGGATAGTTGTACAAAATTTGTTGTGTCCCTAGGACATTTGTTTTGTTTTTGTTGTGTCCCTAGGAAATTTGTTGTGTCCCTAGGATAGTTGTACAAAATTTGTTGTGTCCCTAGGACATTTGTTTTGTTTTTGTTGTGTCCCTAGGAAATTTGTTGTGTCCCTAGGATAGTTGTACAAAATTTGTTGTGTCCCTAGGATATTTGTTTTGTTTTTGAACAGCCTATTTAGCAATACCCATATTTTTTTGGAAGAATATAATAACTTGTCTACAGGTGTAATTGTTGAATTGAGAGAGTATTGAAAAGTAGTCTTACAGAAAAAAGAAAAAAAAAAACTAGAACGTGTCAATCATAACGGTAGCCTGGAATTTTCGTCATTAATAATGATCAAACAGTGTGAAATCTACTTTCCACTCAGGTTTTGACCTGGCCGTATGATTGACAATCCGAAACACCTTTCCCAACTCGTCTTATAATTTGAAGAGATCGGACGCTTCAGATTAAAGATAAGCTACGTGGACGTCCAGGATTGTATAACGCGCAAAGGAAAAGTCCAAATTATTGAAGGGAACCCAAACTGATCATCTGTGTTGCTGTGTTGTCAATCAATGATTAGTCCACAGAATTAAATTAACATTATTCCCCCAATTTAGTTGGTTGTCCTCAAACCGACTTCAACTCTCAACACCGTCCCATAGAGGATCTTAACGCCGCTATATATATATACACTTCGCTTCTCATCTTCAAAACCCATTCTCTCTCTCTCTCTCTCTGTCTCTCTCTCTCTCTACTCTTAACCTTTTCTCGCTTTATATTTGCTAGTTCTTTGGAAGAGAGAGTGGAAACAACAAGAATGGCATACTCTAGCGCAGTGTTGGTGTTGATGTTCGCTATGGTGGTCGGAGCTGTATTCGCTCAGGCTCCGGGTGCATCACCGGCGAAGTCTCCAGTAGCATCGCCTCCGAAGGCGGTGGCGACTCCTTCTCCAACTCCGTCTCCCTCCATGAAGCCACCGACCTCCGCTCCTACTTCCGCCCCTACCACCGCACCACCGACCTCTGCTCCAGTTGCTCCTCGCATCGCTCCCGCCTCCGCTCCTTCCGGCAGCGCTGTTCCTCCATCCACGATCTCAGCTCCCGGCCAGTCTCCTTCGTCTACTCCTTCTAGCACCGCCGCTTTGAACAGAGTCACTCTCATCGGATCCGCTGCGGTTGTCTTCTTTGCCGCGACCTTATTGATTTAGATCCGATCTGGAGTTTACTCATTTTGCCGGAGTTTAAGATTTAGCATTTTTTTTTAATGTAGATATTATAATGTTCAATTTCATTCAATTTATTTTTTGATTGAGTTGGCGGTGGTGATTGATATTGATTGTTATTAATGTTTTGTTGATTCTGATATTATTTATAATAAATTACAAGCTATTAAGAAGAGATATTTTTGTCGATTCCTTTATAATTTTTGGTTTTATTATTTTATGGCATAGGTTGTAACATGAAAATCATATCTAACGATTGTTCATCCTAAATCATGTTCTTTCTCATCAGTAAAGTAAAATAAATAGATCAACTAATAACATAAAAAATACATACATTAACCAATCTGGTCAAGAACAACTAAAATCACAAGAAATAGAACATTACAAAATAGGAACGCATGAATAAGAGGCAACATGCCACATCAAAAGCGAGGAAAAGATGAATAAGAGGCATCAATTACTTCAAAAGAAAATGATATACCACTTCATAATTTACATTTATTTTTTAAACTCAATTATGTGTAAGTGATAAAATTAGTTGATAAATGGAGAGCATATGAGAGAGAGAATTGTCTTTAATATCCTGATTAATTACTACATCATTGGGCTTAAAAATTGAATTTACAATTTTATCTTGAATAACAATGCTCTTATTTCAAATAGGATGTGCTTCAAATATGCAAATCAAAAAAGTTGGTTAGCAAGAGACTAACTCACTCATTTGCATTTTACAGTAATCAAAATGGAACTGGCTTCTCTTCAGTCCATTATTGGACTGAACAACATTGTTCAGTCATTGTGGGACCTGATCTGGGCCTATCTCGATAATCAAGACCGTTTAATATGTAGAGCTCATAGAGTATATTATATATCTCTGCAAAAAATCACGTTAATCGGTTATCGATGGATATTTAATTAGGACTCATTTTCGTCAACGACATGTATAATTTTAAAAATAATTTGTGACAAAAATATGATCTGATCAAATAGTTATCGATAGCTTCCTTTATCTTATGAGCCTAATTTAATACTGGCATACTAGTGATTTCATCTCACAAGATCTCTAAACTTACACTTCTCTGTGTAGAAACAAGCTAAAATCAAGTAAGAGAGGATAGGGAAAAAATTTTAACCTTGGAGTCAAACATAGGGAAAATTTGATAAAAATGAACAAAAAACTATAAGTAAAGTTTTGAAAAAATAGGATAAAGCAAGATTCAATCAAATGATTAATATTCGGCAAGACGATCTCTACATATTCCTAGTCATCTAATATATAAACATACTAGGGTTAATTACAAAAAAAAATCACAGGGTTTCTCGTGTTTTTCAATTTATACCCCTGAATTTCAATTTCGACAAATTAAATCCTAGAGTTTCATCCGTGTTTCAATTTGGCCTCTCCGTCCATCTCCGTCATATTAAAAAAATGAAAATTTGGGTAGAATTACATATTGAAAACCACACGTTCAAACGCTTGTATCTCCCTCGTTATAACTCTGTTTTGCTTCATTTTTACGTCGTTGGATTCACTTTATGGCTTAATTTTCATTCCACTCGTCATACGCCTTATTCCACATCTTTTTACTTGCCGTTGGAGCTTCAAAAGTTGGCCAAAAATAAGATTTTTCTCTCTTTAGGCAAAATTTTCAAATTCAAATCTACTTATTCAAGCGCTTGTATCTCTCTCGCCATAACTCCGTTTCACCTCATTTTCGCGCCATTAAATTCACATCATGGCCTAGTTTTTATTCCACCCCTCATATGCCTTTACTTCACTTCTTTTTGCATGCCGTCGGAGCTCCGAAGTTTGAGAGATGAAGCAAGAGAATTGAGATAAGGAAGAAGGAAAGAAGAGCATATCATGCATGAATGCTCATTTCATCATGAATTGAGTTTATTTTCTAAGATATCTCCTCATGCATGACATTGTTCTAACTTGGTTTAGGAATTTATCAAGTTCTACATCATTTTACCTCAACTGATCATGTTTCGGAAGAAAAGAACTTGTATCAATTCATATTTGTTCCATATATTGCATTTCAAGTTGAGTTTTGGATAATTAACAATACTTTTGGGCTTGATTTTGCGAAATGGTTTTCAATGCATGATATATTATGAGTTTACATATGTTTTCTCAGGTTTTGGCCTAAAAGTGTGTGTTTTGACACTTTGAAAATGGATTTTGAACTTTGAATTGAAATCTAGAAATTTCAGATTTTACATCTTCGCTCGAACGACTATACTTTGTTTTGAAACTTGGCTGGAGCAACTAAACGTTGGCTTGAGCACGGAATGAGAGTTCCCAGTAGTTTTGCAAACAATTACAGAGTGGCTGGAGCGACCGATTGTGCGCTCTCATTTTTCTTAGTACTTGGCTGAGCGACTGTCGAGCGTGAAAATCGAGCATCCAATACTTTTACAGACTTTGCAGATTGCTTGAGCGACGAAATCTTCGCTCTAGCGAACTGTTCTATTTTCAAAAATTTAGCTAAGTGTTCCAAAGTGCATTTTTGCAACATCATTGTATCTAAGGCATTCCTAGGCCATGATTAAGCTATACTAATGAGGATAAGGATTAGAAACACACCAAGAAAGAAAAATAGTAAGTTTAAGCACCAATAGAGCGTGTGTTTCATTGTGTATCTGTTACGTGTTTATGTAAGTCACGCGCCATAGTTCGTCTAAACTGTCTACTTTGTCTGTTTTGTTGCTGGAGCCAACTATGAGTAATAACTCTGTAAAGCTTTGTTCAACTTTATTTTCTGACTGATATGGTAAGCTGTGTTTTTTGAAATGATATTTTCTGTATAGATGAATGATTGTCTTATTTCTGAAATTTATCGTGGCATCCTTAGCGTCATGTGTATCTGCTATCGGTTACCTAGTACCAGGGTTTCACGTGGATTCCAATTATGGAACTAGTTATGTATAACCATTTATCTGCTCTGTATTTGCTCTATACACGTCCCATATAATTATGGGTCATAAAGAGGGGTGTTTAGTGACATAAAAATCAAATATATAATATAATAGACCACAAACACTTAAATAACTGTATATATGATTAGGGACCGAATCAATATTTTATTATCGAATAGGCCAAAATTTGAATTAAAAATTATCACCATACACACTAGCAAACACGTATATATAATATGATATGTAAGTTAAATATACATAAAAAAAAAATAAAAAATAAAAAAGATATATCAAACACGATTGAAGTAATTTGGAATTGAATGAAGAAGTTTTTTTTTGTAAAATAAAAAGAGAATGTAAAATTTAAAAAAGTGATGTATAATTTTTTATTGAAGTAAATAGTACCCTTCAGAAAAAGACAGAGACCCTGACCCTCATAGTCTCTTTGTTAAATTAATCTCACAATTATGTGATTACCGTGCATTTAAGCATCTTCAAGGGGATGGTTAAAAAAAACTTGTTAAGTATTTTAGCTAATGTAACTCTAATTTTGAGCTCTAATGGGTTGGCTATTGGACTAGCAACTTTATCATTCTACTTTTTTGGTGGCTACAATTGAAGAACCCAAGAGGCTCTCCAAACAAATATGTATGTATATATATTAAATTTTTGTATATTTATGTCTTGGATTTGAGATTTTATATATGTATATGTGTATGTAGCAATTTTATATGTTCTTTCAATTCTGTTTAATGAATTACGGAATAACTTATTTTGTATTTTTTAATTTTTTTTCTCCTCATTCTACAAGTTTTGTATGTTTGTATGGGCAAATTTATTATTATTACAAATTTATATTAGTAAAATATCAGCAATTAGTATTTTTTGTTTTAAAAATTAATTAAGTTAATTTGAATGATTAGCTAAAATAAAGAGTATGGTTGGAAAACACAATAGGTAAAGTAATTAGGTAAAATAAAGAGTGTACTTTTTTCATACTTTAACTAGTGAAAAGTAGAGAGTATGATTGGAGTTGCTCTAAGGTGTAATTTTTGAATTGCGAGTCATTCATTGAAAATAGTTAAAAAAATTAAAGGGTAAATTACACTTTGCATCCTTACAATTTGCACCAAATTTCACTTTGGCCCCTATATATGAAATCATAATAGTCAACACTATGCACTTTTAGTCAACTCCCACTTTGGTCCCTACAAATGAAATTCTGATAGTCAACCCTTTGTATTTTTTTTGTCAAATCTAACTTTGGTCCCTGTACAAGTGTCAATGTCCCCCTTTTTGTTACTCAATTATTTAAATTTTTAACATAATTTAATCATGTGATAAGAATGTAACTACGACATAAGGGTAAGAGGAGAAAATTGTCTACATTTTTCACCAATACACACTTTGTCTCAAAATTTACATCAAATTATGACTGTATTAGGTTAAAACAAAATGCAAATTATAAACGACTAGGAAGATGAACTAGGGTTTTGCATAAATTGGAATCACGAAACTTTATTTTTCACGGTATTCATCTTCCTTTCTTTTTGATTTTTATGTCGCATTTTTTTAATTTCAAAAGTTATATTTTCTTGCCTCTTCGTCCTTATTTTTAGCATGCGAACATATATGTATATGTGTATATATATATACTCTCACATGCTTATCTAGGACAAAGTGTATTAGTAGAAAACATTAGGGGTGAGCAGCGGATATACCGATCCGCCAAAACCGACCGAACCGAACCGATCCGCCGCATTTTGGACGGATGCGTGATGATGAGCGGACGGTTGCGGATTGATTTTCTCCAATCCGCCAATTTGGCGGACGGATGGCGGATTTGAGATTTTTTGGCCGCAACCGAACCGCCAAACCGCCAAATCGCGAGCACCTGTAGTAATTTATAAGACTTTGTATTTTCAATTTGTTTAAATATTATGTTTGTGTTTTCAATTGAAAAAGAGTTTAAATATTCTGTTGAAAAAAAGTTTTCAACTTGAATATATTTTTGAATTGAAAAAAATAAACATATTATTCATCTATATTTTTTAGTTTTTAAATCTAACTCTAAAAATAATAAATAAAAAATATGATATATGCTGGTTGGTTTTTGTTTTCAAAAACATATGTAGATGTAACAATATAGAAACATTCAATCTCTACTACTGCTCTTTTATGGTTTTGGTGGTTTGAATTGTTATTATATTTTAAGAATCACAGATTGTAATACTTTATAGGGATGAATCATGCTGTAATTGTAATATGTGGATGAAGCATACAGTGATCGCGATATTCTAAAGTTTCAAACTTTCTTTCTTTGGATAAGGCATACAGTGATTGTAATACTTTTTTAAGTCATTGACTGTAATACTTTTTTTTTTCTTTTTTTTTTTAAAGAAGTGCACAAGTTGAATTATGTTGAAAATTTATAAAATTTTAAACCGCCAAACCGATTCGCATCCATCCGCCAAACCGCCAATCCGCTCAATCCACATCCGCCGAATTGGCGGACGGATGCGGATTGATTTTCTTCAATCCGCCAATCTGGCGGACGGATGGCGGATTGGAAGTTTCGTGGCCGCAACCGACCCGCGCCCACCCCTAGAAAACATTGATGATTTTTCTCTCTTACTCTCATTTCGTAGTTACATTTTTGTCACATGATTGGATTTTATTAAAGATTTAAAATCAAGTAACAGAAGAGAGACATTCACCATGTTTGTTTTCAGTTTTTTGAAAACATTTTTTAAAAAAATTCTACTTTCTTGTTTTTCGTATTTTTGTTTTTATTAAATTTTTTTAATATTTTAAGTAATTTTTTTTTAATTTTTAGACACATCTAACATCAATACACTTAAAAAGTATAATTTTCGTGAAAAAAATCTTTAAAAAATTCATTAAATACCAAAAATACAAAAAATATAAAAAAATAAATATATTTTTCGTATTTTTGTGTATTTATTAATTTTTTAAAATATTTTTTCATAACTATTTATTTTTTAGATACATCTAAGTAAGATATATCTAAAAAAGTAAAAAAATATTTAAAATTTTAAAAATATTCACTAAAAACAAAAAAAAAATATGAAAAATAAAAAACTCAATTTTTAAGAAATTGAATTCAAAAAATTGAAACTAAACACACTGATTAACACTTGTGTAGGGACCAATATGAGAAAAATATAGGAATTGATTGTCACGATTTCATGTGTAGAAATTAAAGTAAGATTTGGCGAGAAGTGTAGGTGTTAACTATAATGATTTATGTACAAAATCTAAAATGAAATTAGGTATAAAATGTAAGAATAGAAAGCAAAATTTACCTAAAAATAAAATAAAAGAAAAATTCTGGAACGTGTGAATCATAACGGTACGTCGGTACCCTGGAATTTTTGTTATCAATTAAGGAGAGGGTGCAGCTTGCCTCTAATTCAAAATCAAATTAGACGATGTTGTTCGGTTCATGGAGACTCATTACGGGTTTTATTTTGATAATCTGAATCGTTCAATGTGTAGAACTCGTCGAGTACTATATATTATAAAAAATTAAGTTGATCGGATATCAATAACTATTTCATTGCATCAGTTTTTTATCAACCGTTAATTTATTCACCGTCTATTTTTTTATACAAAATTGATTTGATCACATAGTTATCGATATCCGATCAATGTGATTTTTTATATATACATAATAATTGACGAATTTTATATATTATATAATTTAAATTATCAAAATAAAATTTATGAACTGAACAACACCGTCTAATCTGATCTCGGACGAGAGCCAAGTTACATCCTTACGAAAAACCTTTAATACACTTCCTTCCCCCAACGTTCCTCCCAGGGTATGACCTGGCCCTATGATTGACGAAGTCAAAATACCTTTCCCAACTCGTCGTATAATTAGAAGAGATCGGACGGTTCAGATTAAAGATATGCTGCGTGGACGTCGAGGATTGTATAACGCGCAAAGGAAAAGTCCAAATTGTTGAAAGGAACCCAAGCAGCCGTAAACGACTAGATTTACTGATAATTTCTGTGGCTGAGTTGTCCATCAATGATTAGTTGACAGAGTTAAATTAATATTATTTTCCCAATTAGTTGTCCTCAAACCGACTTAAACCCTCGACACCGTCCCTTCGGACCTGGGGTGCTATATATACTGCGCTTCTCTGCTTCAAATCCCATTGTCCATCTCTCACTCTCTCTAAAACTCTGAGTTTCTCTCTAACCTTTTCTCGCTTTATACTGCTAGTTCTTTGAAAGAGAGAGTGAAAACAACAAGAATGGCTTACTCTAGCGCTGTGTTGGTGTTGATGTTCGCCATGGTGGTCGGATCTGTATTCGCTCAGGCTCCGGGAGCATCACCGGCGAAGTCTCCGGTAGCATCGCCTCCGAAGGCGGTGGCGACTCCTTCTCCAACTCCGTCTCCATCCACGAAGCCACCAACCACCGCTCCTACTTCCGCCCCTACCACCGCACCACCGACCTCTTCTCCAGTTGCTTCTCCCCCTGCTCCTCCCACCGCAGCTCCCTCCGGCGTTCCTCCTTCCACGATCCCTGCCCCTGGCCAATCTCCTTCGTCCACTCCTTCTAACACCGCCGCTTTGAACAGAGTCACTGTCGCCGGTTCCGTTGCGGTAGTTTTCTTTGCCGCGACGTTGTTGATTTAGATCTGATCTGGAGTTACCTCGCTTCGCCAGAGTTGAACATTTATTGTTTATTTAGTAGATTTTATATGTTTAATTTTATTTTTTTCACTCGACTTTGCGATGGCGGTTGATACTGTTTGTTATTTGATATTAATGGATTCTTTCGTATTATTTATTTATTCTTACGAATTCTGGATTCTCTTGAATGTTTGTGGTGTATGGTTTGATATCTGTGATCGTTGTTCAACACTCTTGCACAATCTTCTCATGTAAAGGACAAAATTGAAAGTTCGTTTTTACTAAAATTCACCTTGGTTAAAAATAGATTACTATTAAAATGTTGTTTTTTATTTTTATTTTTACTATTTGGCTATGAGGGCCTCTTTGAGGAAGGAGGTTAAAAGTAATGGAAAATGTTATGATTTTAAATAAATTATTAAAATTTTTATCAAATTTTTTATATGGGTATGAGATTTACAGACATGTGATTTTTGGATTTCATACCCATGTGAAAAGTTTTGTAGAAAATTTAATAATTTATTTGGAGTACTTAGCATAATTCAAAAGTAATTTTTTAGCTTTTAATTTCTTTCGGGGCATATTATTCTCGATTAAGGGTCACTGTTGTTGTGTCTCAATTTGAGGTGTATTATGTGCTTATTTTTATGATCAAAATTGTTTATTTTGGAGGGTTTGCTGAGCACTTTGTAGCTACAAAAAATTATATTAATTGGATATCAATAACTATATGATCAAATTGTATATTTTTTTATACTATTTCTCAAAAGAAAAAACTTATTGTTTATTTTTTTGATTATCAATGATATAGTTATTGATATCCGATTAGTATGATTTTTGGGAGGCATGAAGTTCTCAATAAACTCTACAAAATAAATGGTTCGGCTCATAAAAATAAACTCATAATACAACCTAAATTGAGATACAAAGTCATTGTTGTGCCACCCTTAAAATCCCATTATTCTCTATTTTTTTAACATATTTTTAAAAAAAAAATAAAAAAATAATTTTTAATCTATTTTTTAAAATAACCTGAGAAAAACTTTAATATAGTTTTTTAGTAAGAAAATTTAAAACTACTTGGATTTAAGAGTTTTGTTTTGAATCATTCAATAAACAAAAATGTTAAAAATTTTATTAAAAATTTTATCAAATATTTCATATGTACATAAGATCTATATCAAACTCACATAATGTGGCACTCATAAAATTTTTAATAAAAAATTTAAAATTTCTAATATTACCCTTCGTTAAAATCACAATTTAAGCTTTGCCAGCGGGTGTTTTTTTTTTCTTTATTTATTTATTATTGACTCACACTAACTTTCTTTTTTCTAGCTGGGGCCATACAAGACGATGGATTTAGTACAATGTGATCAAACATGATTGTGATAGCACATATTAGCATGATTGTGATGGTAGAGATCACATGTGAATGCGACTGCTGAGAGAGAGAGAGAGAGAGATAACGGGAAGGAAAGAGGTAGGTTTTGTCGGATTGTGCGAGATTATTGTAGTGAAGTACGGTGTCTCAATACAGCTGTGACAGCTGCAAAAAATAAAAAATAAAAAATAAAAATACAGCTGTGTTTTTTGCAATAAACTCCTCTTTCAAGTTTGGTTTGTAAAAAGAAAAACCAATCTTCAAGTTTGGTTTGAAAATCCAATCTAAAAAAATGAAAAAAAGTTTGGTTTGAAAAAAAATAAGATTTCGTAGGACAGATGACGCGTGGTTCACAGCTGTTGCTGAAGTCTATGGTGCATTGCATGAGAAAAAGTGAGATTAGGCTGTCACTTTAGAGCTAATTAAAAGCTTATAATCATATTTGTGAATATAATTTAGCTGTGAGTGAAATATTTATAAATATATATTTAATTTGGAGTGTTTTAAGAAGATGATTAAAAATTATTATTATTTTTTTTTTTAAAAAAAACATGTAAAAAATATAAGAGAAGATGTAACTAAAAATTGATTAAAAATTAAAAAATGACTTTTAACTCATTTTTCAAAAAAAAAAAAGACTTTTGTTGGGTGATTTGCTTAATGGAAACAAAAAAAAGAATGGATTGAATTATAACTACTTGTAGTTATTTTTCGAATCAATTAATAATATGAGTATTTAAAAAGAAAGAGAAGCGTTTTAAAATTGAGATTTTTTTTATTGTGAAAATTTGTAATTTAAAAATAGAATAAAAAAAAATCTCACTTTACTTGTAAAATAATTATCTTTTAATTTTTAAAATCAATTCAAATTATTATTATCATATAAATTGTACAAGGAAGTTATAATAATGAGTTACACAAATATCTATTTTGGGAATTTGGCTAAAAATTAATTTTTGGCTTTTAACTAATTTTGAGTTACATCACCTCTCTATTTTTTTACATATTTTTTCAAAAAAAAAATTAAAAAATCAATTTTTAACTAACTTTCCGAAACAAACAAAAATCTAAAAACAAAAATATCCTAACATAATCGAACACCCTCAGGGCATGTTTGATTGGAAGGATTAAAGTATAGGATTGGGATTATTAATCCGTGGGCCCAATTATCCTATGTTTATTTTGATATTTTAGTTTAGGATTATTAATCAAATGGATAATTAATCCAACAAATTTGTAGGATTATTAATAATGGGGTAGGGGTGGGATAATTAATACCACACTAATTTAATAGGATTATTAATACCTTACTATTAGTGTTGTGAATCAAACATGACCTAAATGTACAATCTTTAGCTACAAAGAATAATTTAGCAACTAAAGATGTTACTTTTGGCGACTAATTTAAGTGTAGTCGTTGAAAATAGGATTTTAGGCTACAAAAAAAAAAAAGAAATTGGTCCCTAAATGTACAATGTTTATCTACTAAGAATAATTTAATCACTATTTATCTTACTTCTACCGACTGAACTATTTGGTTGGCAATTGTAATTAAGTTTTGGAGGGAAGATTTCCAATTTTGGAGGGATTCCTAAAACAATTAGCGACTAGATTATTCAGTTCGTCGGGAAAAACTATTTTATTTCTTTTTGGCGACCAATAGACACTGGGCGGGAAAAAACTAAACCTAAGAAATTAGGTCCAAGGTTGATCTGTCTCTCTCTCATTCACACATCTGTGTCACTGTCTCTCTTACTCTCGCTTCACGCCTCTATGACTCTTTTTCTCTCTCACTCTCATATTTGCCCTCCTCTCTGTCGATTTGTCTCTGCCTGTTACACGAGCACCACCGCAAGGGTTACACGAGCACCACAGTCACTTCCAGGTATCTCATCTATTTCACCTTCTCTCTATTTGTCTCTGTGTCTTCGTCCTCTGTTTTCTTCCATTCAGAACTGTGAGGCGCCATATGTTGAAGAAGTGGAACAAGTATTGTTTCTTCCATCTCCATCGACCTCTTCATCACAGAGATCTTGTGTATTATCCATCTAATTCACTGCAAAACCACACTACACCCAACAATCAAACCACTAATGTTCGAAGCACTGTCGTTTGGTGATGATGAACAGACCTTGCTGAATTAATTGGAGTTTAATAATCGACCTAGCCCCAAATTGACCCAACCCCAAGCTTCTTTTCCATACTCCATCTATGAGGATGTTGGTCATGACCCATTAACAAACATAGCATCGATTCCCATTGAGTTCCGTTCATTGAATCACCCACAAAAACTACTCTCTTCCCTCTGATAAAAACAAGCATTTTTGTTGCATTGAACCTAAGAAAAATAACAACCTTCTCTCTCTCTCTCTCTCATTCCTTCTTCTCTCTCTAATTTCAATGGCATCGGATTGAACACCTCTATTCAGGTACCCCTCTCTCTCCTTCCAATCTAGTTTGGTAGAACTATTATGTGTGATCTAAGATTGGTGGTTGACAGTGATACGTAATTTTTACTATCAAGAGCACAATGAGTTTGATCTATGTGATGTGTGCATTTATTCAAAACTTAATGAAGTTAATGCCTCTCATCAGTTTCATGCAAACAAATTAGTTGGTTTATTTAGGCATCATTTGTTGGCGTGTTTTGAAAGAAAAATTTTTGGCTTTCGAAAGCAAGATCTGGCTGATTTTTGTTATAGGAGTTGAGAAGCACACACACTACACATGTCCTACTCAATATTTCAAGCAATTTATGTATTTCTTAATTTATTAATATCCATATCTCATGCAGTATAGAATAAAGGTATGGCAACCAAAAGGAGCGTTACACGTTTCAACATCAAGTGTCAAGAAAATCTTGATAATGGGAGGGACTCTCTGGTGGCTAGTGGCTTATGGTTTCATTTTTCTGTGCAGAAATGGGTTGAAGTTATAGGACAAGCATGCCATAGTGTGGATTTCTTGAAAGATCAAGATATAATCAGGACTGTCCTTAAAGATCAAAAAAATTGTCTCTTGACATGTAAACTAGTTTATTGTATGAGATAAGAAGATTTGTTGCCTACTCTGCATTTCTCTAGCTTAAGGTTTGTTTTTTTGGCTTTTTAGACATGGGATTCTGCTTTTCGGATATATATATCTTTAAACATGTTCTTCATTTCACATCCTCTTCTCTTGTGTAGATCACTCCATTGCATAAACAAGAGAAGTCTGCTCTGCATTTCTCTGGTTGAAGGTATTTCATTTCATATCTTTAAACATGTTCTTTATTTTTGTTTTGTGATTGTTTATTTATTTATATTAAAGGAAAGAATATGGAGGTTTTAAATTAGATTTTTTTGGGGTCGGGAAAGGTTCTATTTTCAGCTACTTAAATCATTCTTCTATCTTCGTTAAATAAAACCAATCAAAAAAGAGTATTATAGTCTTTAAACTCAATCTCAATGTAAGTATACATAAAATATTTCAAATACATTTTTCATTTAGTTTAATGACTGAAATATTATTTTTTTCATTAATTTTACTTAACGAAAATAGACAAATGATTTAGATTAAAAAAAATCAAAAGTTTAGAATTTAAATTAAAAATATTTAAAATTCATGATTTATTTTATTATCAAGGTCAAACTCTGAGATTTTTTTATTTATAATTTTTCAAAAAAAAATAATTCAAACTAAGGGGGGCAGCATGAGTGACATTTCATTCGATGGACACACACCTCAAAAACATGGCCAATAAAGAGACCCATTTTGGTTGTTATTACATACAAATAGACATAGTATTTGCTTTGATTCGGAAATTTTAAATGTGAATTGGGCAATGAATTGGGGATGCAGAGAGAATGAGAAAAAGATGTTTAACAACTCACTGTTGCTTTCCACCAACCCAACTCTTTCTCTCTTTTTTTTTTTGATGAAAGCTCACCTTCCTCTGCTCAAGAAATAGTCAAAAGTTGTTCCATAAAACTAATAAATGTTACTTAATATATGGTGATGATAGAAACTTAAAGAATTAACAATTCTCAACCACAAAAATACTTTCTTTTCATGTTGCAGTTGTTTGTGAAATCAAATTTTGTTATTATTTTATGTTATTGTGTTTTGATTCAATGAGTTTGGCATGTCCACATAAGGCTTAGCAGCCCTTTTCACATTTTGCAACATATCCACACGCTAATGTGGGGAGGATTCAGTGAGACACGTCTCCATTATTAGGGGTGCAATTTACCTGAGTTGGATAGGATTAAGGGATTGTTTAAATCTAACTTGAGATTTAAGCGCGATTACCATCCCAAGTTTGGCTGTTCAAATCAAGAGAAATTTTTGTATACTAATAGAGTATTACGTGATATTACTTTTTACCAATCACAAATATATATCTCTTACTTTTCCTCAAACACCTAACAAATAATGGACTCGATTGTCAAATCCAATCACAATAATAAAAGGTTTCACGTGACATCTACCCTATTGACGTCAAAAAAATTCCTCATAAGCCTGATCTAACTAAATAAATCGATTTGGGGTTATGTCTACGTCACCCATACATTTGAGTTGAATTGTTTAATTAATTATGTGGAGATATAATTTTTGAATGACAACACGTGGCCGAGGTGTCACCGAAGTGCCAGCCGAGGTGCCACGTGTCCTGGTCATGATGCTGAGATCATCTCGGCTAGGCCGAGGTTACCTGCGAAGATACCTGAATCTGGGATAAGCGGATGAGGGACAAGAGTCCTAGAATGGGAGAAGACTTCAGTTTGGGTAAAGATAAGACTCTTAGAGAGTTTATCCTAATCCTACTGGGAGTCCAAGATTAACAGTAATCCTAAGTCCATTAGAGCTAGGCTTCTATTGGGACTAGGATTGCGTTGGCTATAAAAGATAGGCACCTCCATGGGTCTAAGGTATGTCTTTTATGCTCTATCTAGTAAGTTAAGCACTATTGGTTATCTTTGAGAAATATTTTACTAACTTGATCGTCGGAGTGCCCCTAGGTGGACGAGCCACCGCCAGAATCTTTTCTTTCTGTTGCAGGTTGTTTGGGCTTAACATATTCTGCCGGTGTTCTCCAGTTGAGTACTAAGTTGACAGTGTGGTCGGAAATTGACACACACAATTTGGCACTGTCTGTGGGAAAGAAAGAAGAATAGATGGCCAACGACGGACAGAAAGAGAAGGTTGGGGACGACACTCCTAATGGGAGTGGGAAACCTGTAGACCTTTACGTCGAAGAAGACAACTGCAACGAAGAGACTCGTGATAAAAATCACAGAGAAAAGGACGTCGGCCAGGAGGGCGACGTGCCAAAGAAACCAGACCGGAGCGGGTATTATAACGAGGATGACCTCCAGGTATGGAAAGATAGATGCATGCGGACGGACGACGAGATGAAGGCCATGGTGAACAAATTGGCGGACCTACAAATAGTGGTCAATTTCATGATGTAGAATAGTGTCATGCATACGCCGATTCCAGCGGCGAAGGAGGATGCCTGAAAAGATAGGCAGAAAACAGTCCCATAGCACACCAGGACTAAAAAACACGGTCACCGGTCTTCAAGGGAGGTCGGGCGAGGAAAGTCAAGAAGGAAAGAATCGAGGAGGACGCATCGCACCAAGGAAGCCGACCCCAAAGAACATCGGTGTGTTCAAGGGCAGGAGTTGTGCTTCGACGCAACCAATGGAGGGAAGTCCAAAAGGACCCATAATGAAACTGGGAGTAGTGCACCGAAAAGGCTGAAGTTAGGAGATAGCCGAGCTCCTGGACAGACCAAAGAAGATTTGGGGCATCACCTACAGAGGAAGCAACAAAATGTCGAGGTAACCTCCCTGGTCAAGCCGAGAATGCCGTTCTCGGTATAATTGGACAAATTCGAAGCACCGAAGAGGTTTAGCATACCGAGATTCTAGATCTACGACGATAAGTTGGACCCCAACCTTTACGTCGGCTTGTACCTGAACTTGATGGTATTGTACACCGGGAACGAGCCGTTGCTCTGCAAGGTGTTCCCCTCATCCTTCGGAGAAATTGCATCGGACTGGTTTCACAAGTTGCCGAAAGGAACTGTGAAAACCTGGGAAGGCCTGGCCGAGTTGTTTGTGGCCAAGTTCGTGACAAACAAGCTACAACCATCAAGGGTGGATGCCCTAATGGCCCTGAAGATCAGCGAGGATGAAAGCCTTATGGCTTATGCCAAAAGGTATTATGAGGTATTCAACCGAATACCAGGATGCAACCAAGAGGTGGCGGTCGTGTCGTTTAAAAACGGCTTGAAGGATGACTGCCTGCTTCGAAAATCACTGGCAAAGACATTGCCGAAAAGCATAGAGGAGATGATGGCCAGGATAGAAAAGTATGCCAGAGCCAAGGAAGACACGCTAGGGACAAAGGCGTCCAAACAAGAGAAGAGAAATGGTTCGCCAAAGCGAAGCCGAGATAACACTGGATACGAGAAGACAAGAGCTTAGCCCAAGTGAACAGATCCCGGATCCAAATCCCAGAAGACAAGATCTCGGCCTAGATGATTAAGTCTGAGAAGAGAAGAGCTTGGCCTAAATTAAAGAATTTTTATATAAGGTCCACAAAGGAGTATGTGGAAGCCATGCAGAGGGCAGATCCCTTGCCCATAGAGCAATATCGTAGGGATTCTTTTGGCTTTACATGCAAAAGAAAGCTGAAGCCTATGTAAAAAAGCATGAAAAAGCTTTGAAATCCACCTGCAACGCGCGACAGAACAGCAATTCGACTGCGGGTATACCAGCAACAACTTGCTAGGGCTTACAACAAGAAGGTCAGCCCAAGAGAGTTCAAAGTTAGGGACCTCGGCCTGAGAAAGGTTGTCGGCAATGGGGCATAACGGCTGAAGTGCTAGTTTGATTTTTGAAATCTGTGCGATAGGACCGACCAGTCCTATGACAATGTTTCTGATTGAAATATGACGAATAATTTAGACTTATTATATGACATAGTAGAAACTTTACTTACATATGATAAAGTTGAACTAAGTTGGGTTAACCTGGACTTGTCATATCGGCAAAATCAGACACAGATTGGAGCTAAGTGCCTTAGTAAAGAGACCAAGGTTAATAACCTCGGCCATGCTTTGTTTGAATCTTACATCGGCGATGAGGTCAAAGCCACGTGCCTAATGAGAACCCAAGTGGTACTTAAGTTCACATTAGGGGGCAAAGGGCTGAAGAATGATGCTTGGAAGTTGGAATTTCCCAAGCTAAGATTGGTTTAGACACTTGTTGAAATTTAAATTTACAAATTGAAGTTAAACCGAGGACGTGTTTAACACTTGTTGAAATTAAAATTTACAAGTTGAAGTTAAACCGAGGTCGTGTATAACATTTGTTGAAATTGAAATTTACAAGTTAAAGTTAAACCGAGGACGTGTTTAACACTTGTTGAAATTGAAATTTACAAGTTAAAGTTAAACCGATGAGGTGTTTAACACTTGTTGAAATTGAAATTTACAAGTTGAAGTTAAGCCGATAAGGTGTTTAACACTTGTTAAAACTCAAATTTATAAGTTGAAGTTAAACCGATGAGGTGTTTAACACTTGTTGAAATTTAAGTTTACAAGTTAAAGTTAAATCGAGGTCACGTTTAATGCTTGTTGAAATTTAAGTTTACAAGTTGAAGTTAACCGATGTTATGATAAAAGAAGATTGGTTTAAACACTTATTGAAATTTTGAGAAAAATTTACAAGTTAAGCCAAGGTTATGTTGAAAGAAATATCTACATACTTGCCGAGATTACCATGTTGCTAAGACTTGGAAGAAATTTGAAAACAGAAGTCTTGCTAAGAGTGAAGTATCGAGTTGTAAATAACACTTGTGAAAATATTGTAAAAAATATTTTCAAGTGTTAAGCCGAGGCTGAGATAAACCGATTAGTGGGTACAACCGAGGTATTACACCCCGAGGAGATTGTACAGTTAAGGTGTATTTTGAAGACATGCAAATTATTTTAAGTATAGAATCATACAAGAGTAAAAAGAAGACACATACAACTACGTTGAAAGAAGAAATTAAAGAATGCATTCAGAAAATGAAAGAAGGCACTTCGGCCTAACATTGAAGAATGATTGTTTAGATTACAAAAAGGCCGGTGTCAGACGGTGGTAAGCAAAGAAGTGCAACGAAAGTTAAGGTGTATTTTGAAGACATGCAAATTATTTTAAGTATAGAATCATACAAGAGTAAAAGAAGACACATACAACTACGTTGAAAGAAGAAATTAAAGAATGCATTTAGAAAATGAAAGAAGGCACTTCGGCCTAACATTGAAGAATGATTGTTTAGATTACAAAAAGGCCGGTGTCAGACGGTGGTAAGCAAAGAAGTGCAACGAAAGCCTCACCGGATGGAGAGTGTGAAACTGGTTGCAGAAAGCTTCACAAAAGCAGCAATGAAGGATTTGAGAGAGAAAGTTTGAACAAGAACGAAGATGCAGAAGTTAAAAGACGGAGAGAGAGTTGATTTTGATCAAAAGCATGAAATGGCGGCAAAATGGAAATTATGGTGCCTTGGACAACGTGCTTGTCAGACGGCGCACGCAAAAGTGATGCGATTTAATGGCATGTATCAGGTACGGTCCAGTAGGGAAAAGATGCGTGGTAAAAACGGTTGAAATACTGTGCGTGCCAGCTCAGACGCGTGCTGGAACTCTTGGAGTTCTTAATTCAAATGAAGCAAATACCTCGGCTAGGAGGACGGTATCGGCTGAGAAACTTGAACGAACTTGGTCGTTGGTTCTAAAGTATTGATGAAAGCAGAATATAGGTCTTGGTCATATTGAGTCGACGAGTTTTGACTTCGGCAATAGATGATGAAGAGAGCTTAGCTGACGTGCTAAATGGAATAAATGATATAGGTTCCATCACCTCAGGATGCCGAGGTAATAGAACCTAGGGGGTAGTTGTGGGGACATAATTTTTGAATGACAACATGTGGCCGAGGTGTCACCGAAGTGCCGGCCGAGGTGTCACCGAAGTGCCAGCCGAGGTGCCACGTGTCCTAGTCATGACGCCGAGATGATCTCAACTAGGCCGAGGTTATCTGCGAAGAAACAGGAATCCGGTATAAGCGGATAAGGGACAAGAGTTCTAGAATGAGAGAAGACTTCAGTTTGGGTAAAGATAAGACTCTTAGAGAGTTTATCCTAATCCTACTGGGAATCCAAGATTAGTAGTAATCCTAAGTCCATTAGAGCTAGACTTCTATTGGGACTAGGATTGTGTTGTGGGTCTAAGGTATGTCTTTTATGCTCTATCTAGTAAGTTAAGCATTATTGGTTATTTTTTAGAGATATTTTACTGACTTGATCGTCGGAGTGCCCCTAGGTTGACGAGCCACCGCCGGAATCTCTTCTTTCTATTGCAAGTTGTTTGGGCTTAACGTATTCTATCGGTGTTGTCCAGTTGAATACTAAGTTGACAGTGTGGTCAGAAATTGACACACACAAATTAATTAACTTTTTATTTTAGTTTTGTTCAATAAGGCTTGTTAATTTTATTTTTTTTTTCGTAACATTAAAAGGAAAAAAAAAAAACTTCAATGATATTGTGCCTTCATTAACCTGTGGTATAATTATAATAAAACACTAAATAAGAAGGGTGAATCTTACAATGCAATATGATAATTACTGAATTTGTTACATTGATAATTATATTTGCATGGTTTGGTTCACCCACATAATGCCACTACTGCTTTAAGTTTTTCTTCACTATTTTGAAGAAATTGCAATTCTTTTCAAAAAATAATTATAAATCTATGAAAAAAAAAATTATGATTTAATTATTAATATTTATAAAACTTATCATTGAGGTGAATTTTTTTCTTTTTAAATACATTTAATGGTAATTTCTTCTAACTTTTTATATTAGAATAATGAATTCTAATTTCTAACCAATTACAATAATTAACTTGATTATTCCCATAACAAACGAAAGAGTAGGGTATGAGGCTATGAGCCTAATCATGCACCATAATCATCAATATTCCCACATGACAACAAATAACCTACTCAATCATAACAGCACTAAAATCTCAATACAACCGAAAACAGAGAGAAAAAGAGAAACGTGAAGAGAGAGAGAGAGAGAGAGAGAGAGAGAGAGAGCACTGCCTCTATCCTGGCTAGAGCAACAACCCACCCTTGCCAAAATTACGAAAGAATAAACCTAAACAATGAAACCAAAGTAACCATCACCACAGCTACAAAAGGAGGGAGAAGAGTTCCCGATGAAGACGAAGCCGAGCGCGTTGGTGTTGTAGTGGTGGTTGGTGTTGTAGTGGTGGTTGGCGTTGCCGGAGTGGTGGTTGTTGGAGAAGGGGTGGTGGTGGAAGGCGGAGATCCGGAGGGTGTAGTGGTGGAGGCGGCAGTGACGGTGACAGATAGCTTCATGCCACTGCCACAGTGACCAACTACACCACATATGAAGTAACGAGTCCCGGTGGCCTTGAGAGGAATGCTGGTGGACCCACTACTGTCTGTGTTGATCGCATTGCCTACTGTGCAAGACTTGTAGTCGCTTCCACTCACTTCATCTACGGTGTGCCCACTTCCATAATTGAACACTACCACCCAAAAAAAAAACAAAAAACAAAAAACAAAAATTTATTACATATTGGTAACTATAAAATTTATGATCAGTTCTAAAAAAATATGAGCGATTTCGGATGATCATCTCATCATGATTTATAAAATGAATAGTTTAGATCAAAGTGAGTTTAGAATGAGCTCACGATAAGACATTCGGACGTAAAGATGATAAATGAATCAAAACTCAAATTCAACTCATCGTGTTTAACTCGTTAAAATCTCATTCTCAAGTTTGAATGGTCAATTGTCCGTTCGACTTGGTTCAATAAGTTTAAAACTATATAAAAATCCTAAGCGACTTGAACTCGGCTCGACAAAAACTTGTTTGAGATCAACTCGAAAGTTTAAAGAACCAACTTTAAATAAATTTTGAAACTCATTAAAATTACCAAACCAAATTTAAATAATTAATTGTTTGGCTCATTTGACTTGTATATCACCCCTAATTAGACGAGTCCGACTGGTTTTGTGGTTAGGAAAGAAGCCACTTAGGATTATATGCTTTTTGTTAGAGTGCTGATATACAATCAAAAATTGTAGACATAGTGTTATAGAATTATGAAATTATCACTTTAATAAAAAATAAAAATAAAAATCATTTTAAATATCATACTTTTCGTAAATTATTTTGTATAAAAATTTTGGAACAATATGTCTCTAGTATACTCTTCACACAATCGCATATTAAGATTTTTATATTTTGAAATTTCTATCCGACCATGTGAATGGAAGGGAGATTTTAGAGATGGAGAATTGAGTTTTTGTGACATTATTAATACATGTTTATTAAGAATAACATTGTTTGGGGGGAGGGAGATAAAAGAACTTACTGAGGCTGTCACCAACAGTGAAGGTCTTGCCACTAGTCCAGGTGCTGTAATCAACACCAATAGCCCATCCACTCGAGTCCCCTACTGTGTAAACTGTGGCCAAACTTGGCACAGCTGAACACAATACTATGACCAAACACACTATTCCCACACAAGAACTTGCCATATTCTGTGTATTTGTGTCTCTGTATCAGAGAGAGAGAGAGAGAGAGAGAGAGAGAGAGAGTTGATTTTAATAATAAATGGGAAGAGGGTGCTCCTTAAATAGCGGTATAAAAGGCGTTTGGGGGTAAGTACTTGGGGGTTGATTATTCAGTAATTTAGGAGTGCGGTTATCTAAGTATTTTATTTAATATGATTGGTAAAAAATGTAAAATATTAATTATTTATATTAAATAATTGAAGAATATAAGAAATATAATAAATTATGATTGATAAAAAAATATAATTAAATAATATTTTGAGACTACTGAATAATTTTCTAAGCAGTTGTTTGGCTCACTTTAACAAATTATATTATTTATTTTCTTTTGGGGACTAGAAACATATGATTACGCACCTTGCCGAGTGAACCATATGTACACACGTGTACCGGATGATCAACGGCCATAACTATTTCACAATACTATGGGAGGCACAAGTAATATTATTTGTATGTTTCAGTATTATTAATGAAATAATTTAATATTATAAGTGACATAATTAAAAAGGAAAAAAATTAGTTATAATTAAAATCACGTGAGATATATTCAAACAATTTTTTTGATCATAACTAAATTTTTTTCATAACTAATATCATAATGTATTATAACTAATAACAAGTAAATCATAACTATTGACTCAAAAATCGTAACCAAATGTGCATATGGTACATTACAATAATATCAATTTAATTGATATGATTTTGTAGAATATATAAATATCATTTGTTATTTTTTCTAATTATATGAATCGCTTAGGTAATTTTTATTTGTTTGCATAGATTATATCAATCAAAAAAATGCCTTGAAATGATGATCTAATCTAAAATCCTAATTATATAGCTCAAAAACTACCCAGAATAATTGAATAACCATTAGAAAACAGCTGATATTAACTAGTTCTTTCTAATTAATTTTTCATTTTATATAACAAATTTGTTTTATGAAAAATTAACTAATTTTTTTTTCCCACTACACTTGGTTGTCCAACTAAAAAAAAAAAAAAAAATCTCAAAAAAAAAAAAAATCTCACTACATCCTTAATCACCAACAAACCAAATAGATTAATGAAGATTAGAAGCAACACAAATTTAAAATATTAAAAAGCATGATTCATTCCAAAATAAACTCTTTTAATACTGGGACTACACCTACCTGTGTGAGTTAGTAAGTACACATAATTCCATTAAAGTGTAGAGTTGTAAAGGACCTGATCAAGTCCATTGGGGAATGACTTGAGTTGAACTCTATGGTCATGTTTGTTTGGGTGGACATGAGCTTGGGATTGGACTAATAGTCCAATAAAATTACTAATCCAATGTTTGATTAAACAATTGAAGTACGGACTAATTATTTTAAACTTGACTATTAGTTAAGATAGGATACATAATCCAATGGATTTGTACCCCTAGGACTATTAGTCATGGGAATGCTAATCCAGTCCGCTCAAACAAACATGGCCTACACCTACTGCTCAGAAGCCCCAACAAAAGTGGGTGTGTTAATTTAATTGGAACATGGTTGTTGAAAATGGTTTATCCCATAGTATGTAGTTATGATGTTTTAGAAAGTTTTTTTGGGTAGGTTCAACCAGCTGTGTAAAGCACATTAAAAGGGCTTCAAAAAGATGCATGTGCACCGCAATGCAATGCAATGCTTTTAAATTAAGCTAAAGAGATGACTAATTATTTCCCCCCATAATTATTGTCTTCCAATAATAGATTGAGAATGAAGAAAAGCAAAGTAAAGTTAATGTCATTTTTTGTTTTTTTGTTGTTGTTGTTAGTTTATTTCCGATCAAATATTGATATATAAATTAAAAAAATATATCAACCTAAAACACAGTACCTATTAAAATGATATTTAGTTAACAAAATAATACTGTTATATCATTCTAATAACAAATTATATATAGATAATATTTTCTCTTTGAATTATTGAACACAATAAATAGATAGACGTCATTATGATGCAGATTAGTGAAACAGCTTAATTTTTTTAAAAAAATCAAATATACAAAATACTCGATAAAATAAATATTTTAAGTTATCAAAACAAGACCCTAATTAACTCAGGTCCAAAGGTAAGCCTTCTATGTTTTATTGGGCTGTTGGTGACGCATTGGGTTCAGCCAACTGCCCCACTTTGCTACCTACTCCAATTCTCTTCTGCTGCTAATTTAGGGCTCAACAATTCTATCCTCTCCCAAAAATATTTTAAGAAAATACTCAAAAATATATATGTAATGATTAAAATTAATTTTATGTGTTAACTCCACTATATAAATAATAGATTTCAATCACACATTATTATTATTATTCAATGTCTAGTCCATATTTTTTGCTCCGTGGACTCTCTTTAGATATTAATCAATGTGATAGGAGATTAGACCTTCAGTATTTTCTTTAGGATTATTTATTATTAATATTAGAAATCAAACCTTAACATTACAAATTGTTATCCCAGATAGGCAACCCAAGAGGTATTATTATTATTATTATTATTATTATTCAATGTCTAGTCCATATTTTTTGCTCCGTGGACTCTCTTTAGATATTAATCAATGTGATAGGAGATTAGACCTTCAGTATTGTCTTTAGGATTATTTATTATTAATATTAGAAATCAAACCTTAACATTACAAATTATTATGCTAACTTGTGAAAATAAAACAGAAATGGGTTTTAATGTCAATTCAAACCTTGATCATGTGATTTGCAAACTAATTTTTTTTTTTAAATAGATAAAGTCAAACATCGATTGATGATATATTTTACTTAGAAATCAAGTTATTTTGGCATAGATCGACCAAACTAACAGCTATTTTTAAATGTTGTCAATAGATGCATCTTAGCAGAGTCGAATGCATTAAAGTTACAAGAAGAAGAACATGACATTCCAACTGATGATGGTGACACCCAAGTCCATATCAACACTCATATGTATGACTATATATTTGTATTCATATATAAATAGGAAATGAATTAAAGTATTTGTCCTAATGATTGTATAATATCATTTTGTGATGTGAGATTGTGGGTTCAATTCTTATAAAGAGAAGTTTAATACCAGTTTAAGATTCCCGTACTTGTGAGAAAAAAAAAATTAGAAAATTCAATTTTCGTCAAAAAGCCTACTTTAATCATTTTAAAAATCATTAGAATAGTCAATAATAATAATAATATGGCAAACAAATTATTTTTAAAAAAAAAAAAAAATTTATAGGCTTATTTTTAATTAATAAGCCAACTTTTTAATTAACTTGTAAATGAGATTTGATTTTGTATGTTGAATCATTTCATTCTCCTAAATATTAGGTGGCTGTCCCCAACAAGGCTATACAATCCAACTTCTGCAAAGGGACTGTCCTCCCTATTAACACAATTTCGACTGCTTAGGTTTGTGAAAACAAATAAGGAGGCTTGGATTTTACCTAATGCTAGGGTAGAATTTCAATTTTCACTTGCAATTTTCTTACCATTTTTCGGCTTTCCAGTCTCAATTGCCTTTGGTATCATATTTATTTGGGGCATTTACACACAAATTCTAATTTATGAACTTATATTCAATTAAATCCTAACTAAAATTTTTAGAACCTTCAAGTTCCATTAAATTATTAATAGTCGGAATTAACTTTCAAATAATGATTATTTATCTTTTATGATTATCTATAAAGGAACATGATAATTTGATATTTATTTTGATTTTCAAAACTTTAAAACATCAGCCTTTAAGTTGAAAAAACTAAAAAAAAATTATGTACGAAAAAAAAATAAAATTTTTTTTTTGAAAAAATTGAATTATTTTTTTGTGTAAAACTAAAAATTTTGTATCTATAAAGAAGTGTGATAATGGAACACTGATGTGCAAAACTAAAAAAATAAAAAATAAAAAATTGATAATATTATCAATTTTAAAATTGAAAAAAAAAACTGTTAATATTCTCAATTTTATTGGATACTTAAATCAAATCAATAAGTAGAAAGGTAAAAACGTTTTTTCAAATAATGATTATTTATCTTTTATGATTATCTATAAAGGAACATGATAATTTGATATTTATTTTGATTTTCAAAACTTTAAAACATCAGCCTTCAAGTTGAAAAAACTTTAAAAAAAATTATGTACGAAAAAAAAAACTAAATTTTTTTTTTGAAAAAATTGAATTATTTTTTTGTGTAAAACTAAAAATTTTGTGTCTATAAAGAAGTGTGATAATAGAACACTAATGTGCAAAACTAAAAAAATAAAAAAAAAAATTGATAATATTATCAATTTTAAAATTGAAAAAAAAAAACTGTTAATATTCTCAATTTTATTGGATAGTTAAATCAAATCAATAAGTAGAAAGGTAAAAACGTTTAATCTCATACTCTTTTTTTTTTCCCATCAGTTAGTGAAATAATTATCTGAAACATTACTATGCAAAATTGATAATGTTCTTAATTTTAAAAATTGATAAAAACTGATAATATTCTCAATTTTACTAAATAAGACTTATTGGTTCAAAAAAAATTAAATAGGACCTAAGCTATCATAATATTTATAAATAAGACTTTTAGATAATTAACTCTATTTATTTTTTCATATTTTCAAAAACAAAAAAGCAATGAAAAGTTTAAAAAATCACTTATTATTTTTATATCATTTTTATTTTTATGTGAGAACAACTTTTTAGTAATTTCTAAAATGTGAGTTGTTTTTACAAATAAAAAATTTAAAGTATACCAAACATCCCAGACTTTTCTGCAAGGGTATGGGATGAAATTTTCTGTACAGCTCTTTTTTGTAAGAAATATCAAATCAGATTATAAATAGGTCATCCTTTGCTCATGAAGAATATACTTGAATGAAGAGGGTCAAATGACCTGGGAAAAGCAAAGCTTGATTGCGGTGAGCACCCATTAGACCGTGGGCCGGATCACTCAGTGGGCTTGGACCGAGTAGAAGAAGGATTGAGCTGTGGACTCATGCCATGGCCTTGAGCCAAGCGTCTATGGTCGATCCTCAATGGACAAGACGGCTCGGAACGGGGCCAGGATGACACAGAAAGGTGCGTTGGGTCAAGCTCAATTATAAACACAAGTTTAGCTTTGGGTATAACTGGATTAAACTGGCTGGCCAAATTTGAACCACACTACCACAAGGAGTGGCAATTCTGACAAGGGTACCTGATTTGAGGAAGCTTAAGGGTTCGTTTGAAAAAGCCTGACTTTTTGAATTTTTGATTAATTTAACACGACTTAATTTCTTTTGAAAAGGATTTTTTGACTTTTTAATTTTTTTATAAAAAAAAATAAATAAAATTATTATAATTTAAATGTAATATTTTATTTTATTAATTTATTTAATCTATTTTATCTTCTTATATTTTTTTAATCCAAACTTGTTTGTCAAACAAGAGCTAAGTTAAAAATGTCTACATGGACTAAGTGTGGAATACTCAACAATAATAGAGACTACTAATTTTGGAGCTCTAAAAAGATCACTAATAACATGGCACTCAATAAAAAAAGAAAAAAAATACAACACAAAGATCAAAACATCAAATCATTCATGGTGGAGCCCACTGTCACATCATTAGTGATAGCACTAATTAGTGCTCTCACTCATTTTCCGTGGAATACTCATGAAGAAGTACACATCACTAGAACACTGCTGCAGACCCCCACCACATATATGTCGGGGTCAAAGAGAGGAGGAAAAAAATAATAATAATAATTTTGCACCAATCAACACCCATTGGGAGTGCTGATGGTCTCCCCCATTTTCCATCAGGGAGGATTTTTTGTTAGTTGAAGAAAGGATTCTCCTCCCTTTCTTTGGAGGACACATTCAATCACTCTAAATTTTAATTTTTGCATTCCTTTACTCTTATGCTATGTTTGATTAGAGAATTTGAAAAAAGAAAATAAAAAAAAATGTAAAACTAAGTGAAATGCAAGTATATTTTATTTACATTTCACCTATATTTTTTTTTTCTTTTTCCTTTTCAAATCTCCTAACCAAACAGAGCATTAAACTCTTGTTTTTGAAATCGGAGGGGGTTCTCTGATTGGGCAACGTTTCTAATGTTCTTTGGCCCTGTTTAGTGTAGCTTTTATTAAGTTAAAAGTTAATAATCAGAAAATAGAAGCTAAAAATACCTATTTCCCAACTTTTAAATAATGAACTTTTTTTAGCTTATTTAAATTATTTCTACTCAATAACTTATAAACAGAAATTACACCAAATAGTCTGACACAGACTCTCAAATTAAAATAATCTATAATCACCCCTCAAAAGCTGTATCAAACAGCCTCTTTGTCTCACAGGACAAGAGATTCCTAAATCATGCTGGTTGATCACAAATGTAGAATTCACCCGGCACAAAACCCATAGTTACATAACTTCCTACTCACACACAGATGACTAGTGAATGCCACAACTTCAACATATAAAATAGACAGAAACCATCACAAGCTGATAAGGTCATTCACCAAGATTTATCAAGCTAAGAAAGAAAGCACTGCTGATAACTAGTTTTATGGATGAAAAACAGTTGAAAACTGGTGAGCATGCATGTAGTCGTGTTGGTTGCCATTGTAATAAGTCATGACCATCGGAGCCAATTCAAGCTTAGCACACATCAAAATAGGATGAAGGATATCCAAGGATTTTTACTTTTATTTTTTATTTTTAAATTTGACAATGAGCCTCCAGACCTTTAGGCTTACCCCTGTAAAGTAAATTTCAAATATTCACAATTACCCATAAATCACAGGTATTAATAAAGCACATGCATTAATTTAGTCTAGAAAACACCAAAGCCTGAGCTTATAGCTTGCTTCAAAGTGCATCTCCTTAATTGCTGGCTACCCATGCAGGTTTATCCAAGGATTTGTGGAGACATCTCAAACTTGCAATTGAAGAACACAAAAACCAATCACAAACCTAAACACAACCCTCTCACATGAGGTAAATCTTTTTCTCATTTGATGCCTTAGGAGTTCTGGTTTTTCATCAGGTCCAAAAAAAATAAGAGAGAACAAATGATGAACTCTGAAATGAGAAGCGGACAGCTTTTCATTTCTAGTATAGGAAAATAATTTGGGTGCTCCGCTTGTTCATGCTTCGCTCCCCTAATGAGTTCAGGAATATCAATTAACATAAGAAAGTCTTGTTGATTTAGGATTTGACTCCACAATAAAATTGGACAACTAGTGTGCTTGAGCTGGTAAAAGAGAGAGTGCCAAGTGAGACACGTAACGTATGCATGTATACTTAGTGTAAACCAAATATAATTCTTCTTAAACAATTTAGAAATAGAAATAAAGATGAGCCCAATAGGCTAGCAATACAATAAATGATGAAGTGTAAATAAAAGACAAAGAAGTTAAGAGACAAAAACTTGGTAATCTAACATGTAGCTCAGACTCCTGAGTTTTGTTCCAGCTATAAGATGACCACAACTTACACAAGTCAACTTCCCTCAGAAGAGATTTTAACAAGAACATCAAGTAACTTTGCCTCTATGATCCACTTTTGTCCGGGTTATGTAAAAGAAACAATGGCCATTTAGTGAACATGATTCCCCCCTCCTCTGCAAGATGCAAATCTCAACACACACGAGAGAGAGAGAGAGAGAGAGAGAGAGAGAGAGAGAGAGAGAGAGAGAGAGAGAGAGTTCATCTAAAAATCCAATATTGTGAATGGAAGGAACCATATCTGTTGGTAAATGTGCTTTAAAAACACAACATTGACAGCATATATCCATTTTCATGAAGCTTGAATGCCCACCCATTCAGAGAAGTAACAACTTGAATACACTTCAAGGTCCCAAAATTTTTGTTCGATATTTCATATGTTTGGTAAACGGATTACAGCTACTCCATAATCCAACAAGCATGATATCACCTGCTAACAATTCTGCCTTGATTCCCTCTGGTTCAGTAGGAATGAAGAGAATAACCTATATTGAAGGACAAGTTCTATTTGTGCACAACATAACTGATGATTTCCAGAGCAGTAAATTCAAAATTATTTCCAACTATGTTAATAGCTAGGCTTCTCATTATACTCCTCAAAGTAGTGTGGTTTCCATAGTATCACCAAAGTAAAATTTACAGTAGCTGGAATCATGAAACTTTCATCCTTGCTGCATGCATTTTTCAGGCCATTTGACTATCCATCCAGATGCCATCAAGGCAGATTAGGGAGCCTTTCATTGATGGTAATAAAAATATAGATCAAATATCAAGAAATGGATCAAAATGCACAGTAAGGTTGCATCTCTAATCTTATGAATATAAGAAGTCACAGAACCAAATAACCCGGTTATCATAATGGCAAGTGTTTAGCCAGTTGTTTGTTAGCATTGGTTATAATAAGAATATAGATTGTGAAATTGAATATTTGTTGTCAGTTTAGATTGATTAACGCCAAATTGGGATGTAACCAAAACTTCCCAAAGCTGTCAATCCAGGTGAAAATCATAGAATTAAGTGGATTTGTGACACATTAATTTTCAATACTACTTGACAAACTCTAATACTTATTACTTTGCAAGCAAAAGTATAGACCACGATGCCTGCTAAGGGATGAAAACAAGGGAAAAGTCAACTCAAGCTAAATCAAAATCTTATATAATCCTTTGGTTAACAAACTTATGTAAATCATACCAAAAGAAGAAAAATGGGGAACCTCATTGCCCCCCCCACAAAAGATTCACCATCAAGCTGCATCAGCTTCTTCTGATTGTTCAGTATCAGGGCTAGACTTTGTTGATGCATTTTTGGATTGGAGATTTTCTTTTGTTCCTTGTCTCAAAAATCTTCTACTACGAGCCACTCGAATTGGCCTTTCCATAAACATCTGCAAAACAATAACTACTTAAAAAAAAGCTTTCCACACCAGGTGAAGTCTTCCAAGTTTTGAACTGACAATCCAACAAACACTAAATAAGCATGATTTGAAAAAAAGAAAAAAAAAAGAAAAGAAAAAAGCAGAGAAATAAACCCTAGATTACCTTTCCTTGAAAAGAGGAAAGTGCTGCCTCGGCCTCCTCCTTGGTAAAGAAGGAAACAAATCCATACCCAGCAGACCTTCTTGGATTATCATGAAATATAATTTCTGTGGAGGCAACATTGCCATTTTCAGAATTGAAAAACTCCCTAAGGTCTTTGGCCCTTGCTTGATAGGGCAAATTGGCAACAAACAAGTTGTGAATTGGTCCCGGCTTGGACTGCCGCACAACAGGAGAAGGTTTTTCCTTCTTTGGCCTGGCCCAATTGAGCTTTAGAGATCGACCCTCAAATTCCTACATTACACTCATAACAATAAACCAACTTCAGCTATAAATAAAGGATACGCATTGAAACCCATTGATTGTTATAGTCGTTAGGTTAGCATTTCAAAGGAATTTTGTTGGGTTTAAAAGCAAAAAAAACAAAATTGATAATAGGTACTCTAAAGCAAAAGCTATACTTTCACTACACTGAACAAACAGAACCCAAGTCAGAAGACAATATGCTTACAGACGATTCAAGATTGGTGAGAGCTGCCAAAGCTTCCTCGTGTGAACCCATGGTAACGAAGGCTAGACCTCTGTTTCTAGTTTTGTTATGCATAGAGAGCTTTCAATCGATAGAACAAACAACAACGACCCAAAATCAGGAAAAAAAATAAATAAATAATTTTTTAAAAAAAAATAGAGACCCAGAAAGAGAAACCAACATAGGAAGTGAAAACTGAGAGAAATAAATACAAACCTCTACATCTACGACGGTCCCGAATTTCTCAAAGAGGGCTCGAATGTCATCGGCAGTGCTCGCCCATGGGACATTCTGGGCAAGCACTCTGGTCTGAGAGGCTTCATCAAATTCTTCTTCTTCTGCAACTTGTTGTTCAACACCAACCTCTGAGTCCTCCTCAACTTCCGGGGTGTCAATGGTAGCTTGGGGTTGGGTTGAAGAGGAGGCAATGAAGAGGAAGTTGTTGGGTTTGTGGGTTTTGATGGAAAGTGTGTGGGAGAGAGGGGAGAGAGAAGAAGAATAAGAGAGAGAAAGAGAGGAAAGATGAGGGAAGAGAGTGGGGCTAAATTGAGGAGGTTTTGGTGGATAAGAAGATAAAGGGGTTGTTTGGGAGAAGAATAGTAATTGTTGTTGGGTAGAGAATTGAGAGGTCAAAGGAAAACAAAGAAGGCGAGCAAAAGCCATTGAATTGAACCAAACACACACACACACACACACACACACACACAAAATCTTCACTGAATCATCTGTTTGTTTAGAACTCCATGATTGAAGATTGCAAAGCCACTGCGACGAGTGTTCTTGTCGAGGGAGAGAGAGAGAACAGAAGGTTGATTCACGACTGGATAAGGGAGTTTGTGGAGATTTTTCTTTTCGGCAAAACAAAACCCTCATAAAAACGACGGCGTTCGAGCATTTGAAGATTCATTCATATTTAAAAACCCACCCCCCACCAAGGGATTTCAATTTGTTTCTACTGTGTAAGAGCATCTCCAACCGTGAATCAAAAATTTCACCAATTCTGAGTTTAAAAATGGCCATTTTCTGAATTTGATACTTCAGGCTCCAACGGTTCATTTAAATCTGATGCTGGGTTTGGTTCAGCGTTGGAGATGGTCTAAATATTTTCTTAGTTATTTTTACCACCTGACTTGGTTACTTTGTTTAATGAATCTTCTCATTGTATTTGTATCATTTCACGAGAATATTCAGATATGATTTTAGGGTTTAAAGTGGGAGCGTTTGTTTGAGTTTTTTTTAGCTGACTTATAATTTTTAATTTTGAAAATTTTATTTTGAATTGTTTGATTAAATTTATTTTAAGTTTTTTTATTCTAACAATTTATTTTAATTCAAAAAAGTTGATTCTGAGAAGCTACTCACCATTTACTTCTGATTATTAATTTTTACTGTGAACATGTTAATTTACAGGTATATTCTTAAATTTTTTTTATTTTTTATTTTTTTAAAAGTAGAAAAAGACCTAAATGGACTATAGATTATTATTATTATTATCTTTTATGAGAAATGTAAACAAGTAGTGAATAATAAAAAATAAAAATTAATTGAAAATGTTACTTTATAACTTATTTAACAAATACTACTCAACAATTTAAATCTATAATCCAACAGTTACACCAAACAGATTAACAACTTCTGATTAAAATCATGATTTATAATCTATTAAGATATAATTTATAATTTATTTTAACAACTACACCAAACATGGCCAGTGTATTGGCTAAAGAATAGGAATTTTGAAAACTGAATTCCAATTTAAAATAAGTAAAATTTTCAATATTATCAAATTTGTTCCGTTTACAATTTTACATGATCATTTCATTTGTATCAATTATCAGTATATTCTAATAGTTGGATTTAATTTTTATCAAGTCCTATTACAATCGTCGTTAAAAATAATTTTTTGTAATAATTTTTTACAGATGTCGTTAAAATTTGACAATTAGTAACTTTTTTGGTCATGATTTTTATAAATTATCGCTAAAATTTATTATTAGTGACATTTTTTGTGACACAATTTTTAAATTATCGCTAAAAGTTAAAAATTGGTGATATTTTTTGTAACGATTTTTTAAAATTATTGCTAAAATTCATAATTAGTAACATTTTTTATGGTAATTTTCAAACTATCACTAAAAATTAATAATTAATGATGTATTTTAATAATATATAATAAAAAATATTACTAATTATGATAGAATCTACAAGTGAGTCTACCAAAATAAATCATTGACAAATTGTTTTTCGTAGTTTAATAGTGACAAGCTTGGCTGTCAAGTGTCTAAGCACTAGAGATGGCAATCGGAACCCGACCCTAAATTGAGTGGTTATTCTTCGAAAAATGCTCCTAACAGGGCGGAGATGGTATTAAAAATTGAATCGTCGATGATATTTGGGCCGAGAACGGGGATACATGTTTCAACCTCGGACCCAGCCCGACCCCGACCCTGACCCTGACCCTGACCCAAATCCCCGCCCCGTTTGCCCCTGACATAAAATTACTATTTTGCCCCTGTTTATATATATAATATATATGTGTCTGTAGGGTTTGGTTGAACATTCACAAACACAAAGCTGCCTCTGCTCGTGCTCTCTCTCTTTGAACAGGGGCTTGCATGATTCCGACTTTGCTGTGCTCTATCTTAGTGTTCTTCAAGCTGTAGTCTTGAGCAGCAGCCTCATCTGCAGACTGAATGTCTGCAGACACTGAACCCATTTTCTTCAACAAAATCAATCTCAATCTCAATCTCAATCCAAATTTGGATATGGAGGAGGAGGATGAGGATACAGATTAGATTAATATGTATTCGGATATCCTAACATCGCACATATGTCATGTTAGGAAAACATAGAGAGGAGGAGATAACAGACAAATTGATAGATGAAAATGAACTTGGACTCCACTAGTGCATAGTCGTATCATTTGCTTTTTAATTTTTATTTTTTTCATTTGCTTTTTTATTATGTCTAAATGCAGAACATCCAAGACCTTAACATACACAACATTCTAGATAAATGCTATCATGGCATGGAAGCTACGAAGACCACAACTAGTAATACGAAGATGCCATTGAGCTTTAAGAAATTAGGCGAGACTAAAAGACGGTCTTTTAGTGTTGTTGAATATCAGATTTGGAGCTGATTTTTTTTTTTTTTTGGCCGAGAAATTTTCAAGGTCGGGGAAACCCGATCCCCGTTAGGGGATGGGGGCAGGGGCAATGATAGGTGCCCCGTCGGGGATTGGGGTCGGGGACGGAGAAATTTCCACCGTTGGGGATTGGGGACGGGGAGTGTGATACCCGCCTCGGCCCGTTGCCATCCTTCTTAAGCGCTTATTTTTTAAAAATGCGTGAGAGCTCGAATTTTCAACGGCTCGAATGCCAAAACAACGTCGTTTTGGCAAATTTTTTTTTTCTTGTTTATATCTGAACACATAGGGGGAAGGCAAGAGAGAGAGAGAGAGAAGGAGAAAGAGAGAGGAGGAGAGAAGAGAGACGGAAACACAGAGAGAGAGGCGACGGTGATGACCGGGCGGGGCAGGGCGACGGTGATGGAGGGTTTGCGATGGTGCGACGGTGACCTTGCGATTTCAGACTCTATTTTCTCTTTCTTTCTTTTTTTTGGCTCTGAAGATGAAGATGATGATGATGTGTTGATGATGGTGATGTTGATGAAGATGTTGTTGTTGTTGATGATGATGTGTTGATGAAGATTTTGTTGTTGATTTTTTTTTTTTTTTTTTTTTAGTAGATCCAGATCTGAAGGTGAAGGGGAAAATATATATATATATATATTGACTGATGATGATGTGATGAAGATGATGTTGATAAAGATGTTGATGATGATGATGTTCATCAGCAACCAGCTTCTTCTCTCTTCTTCTTCTTCTTCTTCTTCAATCTTTAGATCTTCAGACAAACGAGAAGGAAAAAAAAAAAATCCTAAAACGACGTCGTTTTTGGATTTCGGGCCATTCGAGCGGTTGATATTTCGAGTTACGTTACAGAGTTGCTTGTTTTTTTTCTCAAAGATAAGATGACATGAAACCCAAAAGAAAAAAGATTCTGTACCAATATTTTTTGTGAATGAATCCTATATAAAGGATGACTTCTTTTTTTTTTTAGTAGGTAATGTATTATTGGTCAACTTGCACCAAACTAGTTCCTTAAAACTGAACAAGCCTTTCGAAATTGGCTAATTAATTCCCTACGATGCATGGTCCCAACAATTTTGTTAGCAAGAGGAATCAAACCTGAAATCTTTGAGAGAGCAAATTTTCAAGTCGCAGGCCTCATCCAGGTCAAACTCTTCGGGTCATATAAACGATAAGTTGTGTCAAATGTTGTCTCAAACACAAGAAGATCATTTCATTCCTGAGCTTATGGGAAATTAACGGACACATTTTCCTTCCAGCAGATCTGAATTTCAAGGATCAGGGATGATCCCCCTTGAAAACATGAAAAGAGCCAAAAAGAGGGAAAAAAAAGGAGAAAATCAAAAAATACTTCCACGTGTTGAAAAACTTTAACCACACTTTTTACAAACAACAAAATATGTGGTTCCAAGGAAATGTGAATTCTTTTAAATGCAATGAATTAGAAGTTACAAAGATCAGTAACATCTTTGGATACAAGAAATTAGAGCAATTCAAAAATATTTCTCATGTTACATCTTATGCATTCTAGAGTCGGGCGAGTTATATTGCAAGGGTGACAGAGGTTTTCTTGGTGAATCAACATCAGTGAAATCAATTTTCCTTTCAACCGGGCTGCTACTACTCATCTTGGGGCTTGATTTTTGCTTGTTCCCCTGCACAAAGGCCAAGTAAATCACGTTACCACCATTTCTAGCATGGCCAGCAATGTTAATCTTATGCATATACACGAACACAAACACAAACACATTCACACAAGCCATGCAAATGAGTAACTCACTCATTTCCTCACCTTGGTTGAAGCACTACCAGTATGTTTTTCACCAGAACCAGGATGGTACCCCTCTTTGAGGCGCCTCATCAACCTTCTATTCTCTTTATCCAGTATTTTATTTTCTTCAAACAACACATTCACCTATTCATATAAATAAATAAATAAAACGGTTTGTTTATTGCCAATGCCAATGCCAATGTGCCATAAAATCAAATAAAATAAGCAAAAAGGTACAATACAATTACTCTGCTTACCTCCTCTTCGGCTCTAGTAAGGTTTATCCTCAGATGTTCCTTATCTTTCTGTAGAGTCTTAACTTCAGCAACCACTGCCAGAACTTTCTGAGTAAAAGGCCTCAGACTACCCACAGTTGAAAAATAAAATTCAGTAGAAGAAACTAGCAACAGGATTTAGGGTTTGCTGTAGATATCTCTCATGATGATATGAAGTGTCCAATTAATAGAGAAAATAAACTCACCTACTCCACATTTTGAGTAACCTTTGGCACACTTCTACTCCACTATTTGTCTCTAAAAAGGCATGTGCAGTTGGTGCTACTTCATCATTACCAACCAAAGTTGTTATCAATGACTCAAGTAGAAGTTGTTCCATAGCTGAAACCTCTGCAGATGAATCAACCTTTTAAGATGAAAAAAAAGTTCAAATGATCATCAGCCTCCACTTGATATTGCATGAAACCATCAGGTTTGCACAAGTTAGCATAGCATCAACAAAAAGAAAATAAAAGAAATAATAATAGAAGGGATTTGATTCACAACCAGAATATGGATCATCTGTTTCATTTGAGAATCAAGTTCATGACTCCCACACACCCAAAGTATTAAGCATGTGTTTGGAGCATGGATTTGGAAAGGGAAAGGGAACATTTCACTTTCACACACACTTTCCCTTTCCCTTTCCAAATCCCTATCCAAATCCATGCTCCACACACATGCAACTTTACACATTAGCATAGAATCAGTATAGAAACTGTTGGAATGATTTAGAAGTTTGTTCTAGTATGGCCTTCCATGAGTGTTTAGGCTTTGATGAAATGTTTTCTTGTATGGTTCGGGTGTGCTGTTGGAATGATTTGGTTTTTTCTTGTTGCTGTGCCACTAGGAGTTATGCAAAATTGAAATAAGGTGGAGTTGCAGTCTACAGATGAGTTCCATCTTAAAATAGAACTTCAGGATGCAAAAAGCAGAAAACAACAAAACAAAGATGATTACCAGAGCATTTTTATGATGTGGCATACTCCAAAATAAATTATAAACACATCATACAAATAAATCCCAAAACCTCAAAACAAGTTTGATTCTGGGTTCTATTAATGTCACTACTGAAATTCACTGAAGAATAAGATAGATATTGATGAAGCCACAAAAAACGAATTAAAATTATTCCAATTGGGCATGATGAGAAAGTTAAGCCTCATCTACAGCATCCTTCACCCATTTCTTAATTCATATGAACAAATTGGTGAGGTTTACTCTACTCTCCTCTCATTGCAATCAAATTACACAACTATATTAAAACATGAAGCAATCTACTGAAAAAATTAAGCACAAAATAGCTGTAGAAATAACCTGGCCTCGTTTGAGAACCGACTATTTTAGCCAAAAAGTCAAAAAACTAACTAAAACTAGTCACATCACCTCTATACTTTTCCGCACATCTTTTCGTAAAAAGCCAAAAAGTTCCTAAAATAGCCTGTTCCCAAACGAGGAAGTGTAAAATTGAAATAGTTATTTACCGAGTGCATCTCACAGTGATGTTTGCAGAACTGCAATTCTTCCCTCACTCTTCTCAAATCCTCCTCCAACTCATGTACTTGAATCTCGGCCTCCTTAGCGCGTTCATCGGCCTCGTTTCCAAAATCCATCAATGCTTCTCTATCATGGTCATATAATGAGCACTCCTTCTCCCACCTCGAACACTGACTCAGAAGATTTGCACATTCCATCGCCAATTTCTGATTTTCTTCCACAAACTTCTTTAATGCTTGCGCATTAATGCTTGATTCAGCCTAATTTCAATAAACAATAATAACACCAAAATCATCAAGAAAAACTCACAAACCCTAACTAAAATCGCCAGGTACGAGTGAAAAATGAAATTGATTTAGACAGACTAACGGTGGAGGACAAACCCTAGCACGCTCGATGACTTCATCTTTCTCTTTCAATTTAATTTTGAGATTCATGTACTGATCTCGAAGACGCTTACAGATTTCTTCAGACGCTCGAAGTTTCAACTCCAGAGTTTGTTTAGATACAGGGAGGCCAAGGGAGTACCCGATTGTTTCTTTGATGTAATCGTCGATTTCTTGTGAAAGATCCATTCTTGATCCACAAAACCCTAGAAATATACTGTGATTCTTTGCTTCTTCGATGGATAGAGAGCCCACGAAATCAGAAACAAAACCCTAGATCCCTACGTGATAATGATCTGATGATTTCCAACTCTGCAAGCCCGAGACGAGAGACGAGAGCGGGTTTGGTCCGAAGATAGGGCAAAAGCAAGGGGTTTTGGTCTGGAATATTTTTCGATTTTTTGAGTTCGAATTGAGAGGGTTAGCCGTTATGAATTCACTATTTAAAATGTGGAAAGAGCGTAGGTGACTTATAATTAAAGAAAAAAAGAGAGTATAATTTTATAGTTTTTAAGGTATAATTTTAAAAAACATATTTTAATTAAATACAATATGAAACATAATTAAAAAATTTATGAATTATAATTAAAATAATATCATAAATAAAGAAGAAAATTAGTTATAATTAAAAGAGTAGTATAACTAGTAATGCATATATGATACAACCCTTTTAAAATGGTACATATTAGAATTTTCTTTCAACATGGTTGGTGTGGAGTAATTATTCTATCTTTCAAAAATTTCACCGCAGCAGCAGTGTGCCCACTCAATAGTAGGAACTTTACATAATGCTAAAAATGAAAAAAATAGTGAAGGAAAAACATGATCTCATTAGATTGGCACATGGCCACATAGAATAATTTTTGCGTTGGCGTGGACTCACTTAGGAATAGCAATGGATAACCTATCCAGTGGATACCCATAGAGACCTGACCCGAATACATGGGGTTTCTCCATTTTTTCTACCTGTTGGGTTGGGTAGATGATATTGTTTAAATCTCCATCGGGGATGGGTACCCGTCCATTTCCCCATATCCTTGTTTATAGCTAGGTTTTTCACGATCTGTGACGGTGACGATCTAGCGGTGGCGATTTCTATCGACGCTTGCCATGATAGTTCTCTAGCGTGATGAGTTTCTCTCTCTCGTTCTCTTATTTCTCTTTCTCTTGTGCAAAATCGATTATAACTCATGTCTAGAAACTCCAAATTCCTTAGATTCTTTAAGCTTTCTGGGATTTTCCCGAAAAATCGATTTGAGCTGAGGTCGATCTTCAAAAGCTTTGTTGATCCTCCAATTGATTCTGGGACTTTTCCTTCGAACCCATTTTGGTTGACATCAAGAAGCTTCAGTTTCTTCAATTTGTCTAGATTTAGAGACACTTTGCCATTGAAATTGTTTCTAAATCGTTATTTGTTCAAGATTGGTTAAATCTCCCAACCAATCTGGGATTTCACCAAAGAGAAATGAGTCTTCTTCAGCTATGTTGATAATGCTTTGAATTTAGGAAAAATTGGTTTAAGATCCCTGCCCAACTTTGGGTAGGAAAAAGAGATCCACAATAATATTTTTTTATGCCTAAGGTCCCTCAACCTTATATTAGGTTGCAAAATACCTAATCTACCATCCTTTATAAGATACGTTGTTTTAGATTTTGACAAACTGAAGATTTTATTGCTATTTTGTATCAGATTTTGTGGGGATTTCTTAGGTGTTGCAGTGGACTTGACGATAGAGATTGTTGTGATCGTATAGGTGTAGTAGTAGTGTTGTTTGTTTTTTATTTGATTTCCAGTAGAGTTGAATAAGGTATGTTTCGATAAAGATTTCATATGAATTTCAATCTTTGGTTTGATTTGTATATAAAGATTTCGATTTCATATTAGTTTTTCAAGTGTATTTTGAATTAAGTTTTTGTTTTTAGTTTTGACTAATTTGAAAGAGATGCCAGCTTAGTAGAGTTGTTTTTGATTTTTGGAGTTAATTTTTCGTTCTCTGTTATTGATCAATTTTAGAGAGAAACCAGCTCAATGGAGTTGATTTGATTTTTGGAGTTCATTTTTCGTTTTCTGTTTTTGATCAATTTCAGAGAAAGTCCAGCTCAATGGAGTTGATTTTGATTTTTGGAGTTCATTTTTCATTCTCTGTTTTTCATCAACATGCTTATCAATGATAAGTTTTGTTCTCTGTTTTTTTACCAACATGCTTATCATTTTTTGTTCTCTAAGTTTTGTTCTCTATTTTTTTTGGACTTTCTTTTTGTAGCCTAGAGAAAATTGTTAGTTTATTATTATAATCTAATGAAAATCACAAAAAAAAAATTTATATGGACATGTTATTATAAGTTTGTAATCCAGATAAAATCACAGAGAAAATTATAAGTTTGTAATCCAGTGATAATCACAGAGAAAATTATAATTTTACATGGACGTGTTACTATAAGTTTGTTATTATTTATTTTTAATTTTCTCAATTAAATGTTTTGTGAACAAAATAGATATTCTCTATGATTTTCTCTGTGTTTATGTGGAATAGTTAGCATTTTGTGTTTTGATGTGAATGTGTTTTTGTTTTTGTGATCTTGAAAGTGAATATAAGTTCGTAAATTTCTTTGGACTTTTATTTGTAATCCAGAAAAAATTATAAGTTTGTTATTATAATCTAGAGAAAATCATAATTTTATTTGGACATGTTATTATAAGTTTGTTATTTTTTATTTATATAATGTCCTCTGGATTAAATATATGGATAAGGGAATTAATTGAATATTTTGTGAGTAAATTTGATTTTCTCTGTAATTTTTATTGTATTTTTGTGGAATAGTTAGCATTGATAATACTGTGATTTTACCTCCATTGAGTAAGAGACCAGTTGGGAGGCCGAATAAGAACAAAATTGCTTCTACTGGAGAGTTTAAAAAGGTGATGAAGTATAGTCGATATTGGAGTATTGGTCGCCATAATAAGAGAACATACAAAAATCTTTAGTAAATAGTTGAGGATATCCATCTGTTTTAATTGTTTACATTACATTTTATTGCCTTAATAATATAGTTAAGGATGTTAAAGGAATTTATGTTGCATTTTTTGACGTTGGTTAACGTAGAGAAATTTGTATGCGGATGGATCATATTACAATATAATGTGTCTTTTGGGCATTGTGTTTTGTAATTTTCTCAGAACTTTTTCTAAATTTTCTTTGTAATTTCTGGATCAATGCAAAGCATACTTTGGAAAGTGTGTTTATAATACCAGTAAAATTCATCTAGAGAAATTTCTCAATACTAAAGAAAATTACTTTGTGCATTGTGTTTTTTGAATTGGATGGTGTGAATTACTTTGTGCATTGTTTTGTACCAATACAATGTACTACAAATTACATGATCAAATAGGCCCTCTCTTTACATCATACCAAATAAATTTCTTTGTTACTATAATTTTCTCTGTGAAATTCTGGTAACTTCAAACTAGAGAAATTTCTTTACAAATAATTTTCTCTATGTACATTGTGTTAATAATTACCACTTAGCATCACTACAAGAAAATGGGCTTTATAACATGGAAGCATTTGCAACGGCATCATTTACTGTCGCAAAATTTTTTTTGCGACGGCACCACTTGTTGTTGCCAATAAAGGGGTTTTTCGCGATAACACCCCTTCTTGTCACAAAAAAACAACTTTTTTGCAACAGTAACAACTGTCGTCGCAAATAATGCGCATTTTTTGCGACGGCATGAATTGCAGTCGCAAATAAAGAATTTTTGCGATGGTAATAGGTGCCGTCGCAAAAAAAAAAGAAAAAAAAAAGAGAGACTGTTTTGATGAGACGACATTAGAAAAAATTGAAATTTTTGTAGTGTTTCACCCATTTTTTTATCTTCCTGTCTCTCTCTGTCTTTTCTTTTCTTTCTCTCTTTCACTCATCACTCTTTATCTTTCTGTCTATGTCTCTCTCTCTCTCTCTCCCCCACACACTGTGCTCGCGTTGCTCACTCTTTTCATCCTCTCTTCTCGATTTACCAATCTCCCTCTCAATTTATCGATCTCTTTTTTTTCTCTCTCTCTTTTTCTCTTCTTTCAATCGCTCATCTCTCATTTCTCTTAATAACTTGTCGAAAGAGAAAAAAGTCAAAAAATGAAATGGGCCTCTCTCTCTCTATCTATCTCTCTCTGTCTCTTTCTCACTCATCACTCTTCTTTCTGGCTCTTTCATCTCTCTTGCTCATCTTTCTTCTTCTTCTTCTCTCTCTCTATCTTTCTATGTCTCTTTCTATATCTCTTGTTCATCTCTTTTTGTTGTCTATCTCTCTCTCTCTTTGTCTATCTCTCGCTCATCTTGTTGCTCTATTCTTCTTTTCTCTCTCTCTCTCTCTCTGTGTCTCTCTCTTTCACTCATCACTTTTCTCTATGGCTCTCTCATCTCTCTTCGCTATCTATCTCTCTTGTTTATCTTTCTTCTCTCTCACTCTTTCTCTTGTTAATCTCTTTTTGTTGTCTTTCTCTCTCTTTGTCTATCTCTCGCTCATCTTGTTTCTCTTTTTTTTTTCTCTCTCTCCGTCTCTTTCTCTCTCTCACTCATCTCTCTTCTCTCTTAATTGTTCATTTCTCTCATTCACACTCATCTTTTTCTTCGAGCCCATTGTTGTTGAAAGAGAAAAAAGTCAAAAAATGAAATAGGTCTCTCTCTCTTTATCTTTTTCTCTTTGTGCCTCTCGCTCATCTCTCTTCTCTCTCTCTTTCAGTCACCTCTCTTCTCTATCTCTCTCACGCATCTCTCTTTTCTATCTCTCTCACCTCTCTCTGTCTCTCTTGCTCATCTCTCTTCTCTTTTTTTATGTCTCTCTCTATATCCCTCTCGTTCATCTTTTTTTTTTCTCTCTCTCTCTTGCTGATTATCTCTTGTTTCTCTCTCTTTCTAGCTTTCATTGTGCAGCAAAATAGACATGGAGGTTTTTGACAAAAAAATGAGTTTTTTTTTTGTGCTATGGCAACCTTCTCCCATCGCAAATATAGGTTATCGGGGACGGCAATACCCCCGTCGCAAATAAAAAAATTACTAAACGAGCTATGAATTCATTGTTTAGGGCCTGTTTGGTAACCATTTTGTTTTCCGTTTTCAGTTTGTATTTACAAAAATTTACAAAACTGTCATAAAAACTTGTTTGATAAATTTTTTTGGTTTATAAATGGTTGTCTCAATTTATAAATTTGTGAAAAAATTGTAAACTCAAAAAATGAGTTTACGTTGATTTTTAAACAGAAATTTAAAACTTTGACTAATAATTTTTTTAATTAATTTTTTTTCAATTAATTTTTTTTAAATATTTTTTTTTCAATTAATTTTTTTTCAAATAAATTTGTGTATGATCTCATTGTGATAAATAATAAAAATATATATATAAATATTTTAGGCCTGGACAAACAT